CAAGATCGCAGGGCATAAATCAGTTATACCCTGGGCACTATGTGTATAAGCGGGACTTTCAGCCCCGCTTATACCCACCTGCCCAGGATATAACTATTACATATCTTTAAAGTTATCATATAATCAAATAAATATACAAAAGTAATTGCGAGAAGTAATAGTAATCATGTAATGTAGCGCAGATTGTCCAAATTCTATTATTTTATGAAAATTTAACTATAGATAATTAAAAAGTATATTTTAGCTATCTGCTATGCCACATCACATGAATATCGTTTTTCTTTCTAATTTTTATATCGATAAAACAGTCTATATTCTAATATCTATACTGCTTTAAAAAAATATGCCTAACCAATTAAATAAAAAATTAGCATCACTAGTAACTTCAAAACTTCGACCTAAAATACCATGTTATTGCAAACTATGTAATAGTACATTAGTAGATACAAGAACTAGGAAATCACATGTATTAATAGAACCAAGATTTAATTACCAAATCAATAAAAAATGAAAGAGAAGTTCAAGGTAGAAATATAATAATATATAGTTAACAGGATAAAGAATTTACTAGCAACAAAAAGCAAAAATATGATCTGTCTCATGACACTAACAATATTATCAAACCGGACTTAGATATTTCTGTTAAAACTTCTACCTCACTAAATCTTAACTATAAAAACATAAATGATTCATGGATTTTAATTAGTATATTCAAGTATCAAGAAAGATTCCGGCTTTCAGGCATTGCAATTGAATCTCTTATAAAAATTTTTAAATTGGTTTTGACGGATGTCGATAGAAAGCGGTTTGAAAATTTCCTTCTACGGCTTATATGGCCAAAAAGTTACTAGAAATTAAAAAAAATAATAAAAACAATAAAACCTTTGTGACTTGTCCTAAATGTAATAAATTGTATCATATTGATACTAATAATTCAGGATTTAAATGTACCTACGCTGAATTCCCTAATCATCCGTTGCAGACTAAACGCCAACCTTGCGGGTTCGAAGTACTAATTAAGATACCTGTAAGCGATGGATATATTTGGCGTCCCAAAATGGTATATCTATTGACATGTTTGAAGGCCCAAATATCCACTATGTACCAAAGACTGGGATTCGAAGATCTGTTGTGTAAATGGGCCAGCCTTAGTAATGAACCTCATTTGATGTCTGATATATATAATGGCAAAATTTGGAAACCTTTTCCATCAGACATTTATAATTTGAATTCATTATTTTTTACATCTGAAACTGCAGATTCACACCTAGGAATAATGATAAATGTGGACTGGTTTCAACCTTTTAAATCTGCTTCTTATAATTGTGGAGTAATATATGGTGTAATCTGCAATTTACCATGCAATATCCGGTTTAAAAAAGAAAATATGTTAATTCTTGCTCTTTTGCCAGGACCAAAAGAGGCCAAGACGCATAAAATTAACAATTATCTTGCCCCAATTATAGATATTTTGTTGGAATTTTGGAATAGTATTAATTTACTAACAACCCATAACTATCCTTCTGGTAGAAGTATTAGAATGGCAGTAATCTGTTGTAGCAATGATATTCCAGCTGCAAGAAAATTATGTGATCATATATCTGCATTAGCCGGATGTCATAGGGTTTTTTTTTTCTGTTTTTCACAAAATCCGAAAGCCATTTTTCTAAAAATTATAACTAATGATAGCTAATTTAGTCTGTATTTTATGTTCTTTCAGGAAAATAGCTTTCGTAAATTCATTGTAAACCTTTTTTTGTATTTTATTATTCTATTTTATTTTTTCTTACATTTTTTTTTTTTGGACGTCATAGGTGTTATAAAAAGACAAGTACGAAAAAGGGCAAGGATCAAATTTTGAAGGTTTCAACGATATAGATAATTGGTTTAGGATAAGAGATCCTACGGAACATCGTCGAAATGCCTTAATTTGGAAAAAACATATAACAGAAAATGACAGAAAGCAACATTTTAGTCAAACTCATGTTAGATGGTCTGAAATGCTCTGCTTACCTTACCATAATCCAATAACACATTTAGTTGTTGATCCGATGCACTGTTTGTTTTTGGGGGTTGCGCGTTTTATTGTGAAGAGTTTATTTATTGAAGGCGGAAAAATTTCAAAATCTAATCTTGAATTAATGGAGCAACGGGCAAAAAATATTAAAATGCCAACTGACCTTGGAAGATTTCCATTCAAAATAGCAACTGGTAAAGGATTTTCCATGTTTACAGCTAATCAATGAAAATCATTTATTATGATATATGCGATTCCGCTAATGTGGGATCTTTTAGATACCCAAGACAAAAAAATTTTGGCAAACTTTGTAAGTGCTTGCTTTTTGCTAGTAACACGAATTATTGACATTAATGAAGCACAATCTCGGTTATTACAAGTTGCTTGCTTGATTGAAAAGAACTATGGTCCAGAGGCAATTACTCCAAACATTCACTTGCCACTTCACATAATCGAATGTTGTCGAGACTACGGCCCATTATATTCCTTCTGGTGCTATTTGTTTGAGAGAATGAATGGAATTTTGGGCAAGTATTTTATATAATAAATTTTACACTTATTACAAGTTTATACATGTATATGTATTTAGCTTCTAATACTGTAATAGCTATATGTCTTTTGTTTTATATTATATACTGTACCTAGCTTTTATATTCTGGCAGATCGGCAGAATTGGCCCTTTTAATTAGACCTTAAATTAATTATTTTAAGGGTAATAATAATTATAGCAAATTTTAACAGATATCAGTTAATATATCAGAGAATGACATATTTTATTTATGATTAATAAAATAGGTTCAAATTCAGAGTATCTAAATAAAGATCCAATTCTGCCAATCCGCCAGAATGATATTCAAAAATTTTCGTATTAATGATTTGTTTTTTATTATTCTTCTGAAATGCATTCAGAAAGGTTTGTACTGATAATTTATTGTTCTCTTTAGGTTCCTTCCCGAATAGTCACCGCCAAATAGAGCCAGAGCTATTACGAATCATTCTACTGAATTGGAGACTTGATGATCTTATATCAGCGCAATCAAGTAACTTAAAATTTCTCAAATGTTTAAGCCTAATACGACCAAGAGCAGCAGTGGGAAGCTTAGCTGTTTATAACAATTTTGAGTTTGATGAACTTCGCCATTTTAGACAGATTTATCAGCTTGAAATTGAAGACACAATTACCGGTTCAGAGTATTTTCCCGGCAAAATGTTGCTTCCTAAAAAAGCAGATTTTGGCTTGCCAGATAATGTATATAATGTACTGGTAGCCTATTATAATAATGCATATGACATGGAGTTTTTGTCAATTAAGGAGGCAACTCAGAAAAAAGTAAAAATTTCTGACCTAAAGATTGTTGTTAGACCTCAAGTAAATTTGTTCGGACGTGTTCAAATTGGAACTGAAATATTCGGATCGGCTAATACACCCCGATATCTAAAGAATTCATTTATTCTTGCAAAGTTCGTGCAAGAAAATGGTTCTATAGAAATATTTCCAGGCCAGGTCCAATATTTTTTCGAACACAAAGTCAATCTACCAGGAACAAGAGATACACATCGACTGGCTTATGTAAGGTGGTTTAGGGCAGCCCCGAACTACCAGACAAGATTTCACTTTCAAGTTAATGATATTCAAAGCAATGTGGAAATCTGGGCTCAAGACTTTTACGATATCGATGATATCGATAGAGATTGCATCATACCGGTTCATAATATATTTGGTCGATTTGTACCTACTGAATATATAATAGGCAAAAAAAAACCTATTAGATATATGGCTGTTATTTCTATAGAAAGAAAATTTTATATGTAATACAGTAAACGTATAATCTAGTTACTGAATTTGATGTTCTACACGCTGAAGAATTGTAGGGTTCCGGGTACAATTGATTAATTGATCATTTCTTTTTTTGTCTTTCAATTAATTAATTAATCCCTTTTTTATCTTTTCAATTAATTGTGTAATCTGTATCATTTCCTTTTTTGTCTTTTATTTCCTAATCACGTATTGCACTTTTTATTGACATGTATTCACGTGACTTTGAAGTTTAAGTATTAGGATTATCTTAGCGTTAGGATAAGGGCTTAATTTGGCTCCTCGGCATTCTTTTTTTTTCTTATTTTGTTAGTGCCCAAGACAGGTCTAGCTAGACCAGTGTCTGAAAATTCAATTTTAGTTTAGCTGCGGACCCACAACCAATTGAAAAAACGATTTGCATATAAACATTTAATTGCAGAATCTGCATATACACTTTAGATGTTGGTTGCGAAAATTTAAATTTTTGTTGCGTGCAGACTCAGCAACCTAATTTTAGACACTGGTCTAGACTGCGTTTTTCATATTGCTTTCATTTTATTATGTAGTATTTGTCTAGAAACATCGTCTAGCTCTAAGAATTTTTAAAAGTAGTGAGGTAAACTTTTATTTACTTATGATTTTTAATTAATAAATAAATTCCTATTTATTGCACAGTCTTATGTGACAGCCTGTGCTTTTTTCATTGACTTATTGACAGTCAAACGCCGTGCAATAAGATATTTACACACACGGGCTCATATTTAAACCTCATGCCTTTGGCAAGGAATATGAATGCATGTAACTAGATTATTCACTACATACCATACAATAACTATAATTCATCTATTTAATACGTTTGATAAGTTTAAGGTTATACGAAGCATATGGGCTAGGTGCTGGAGAAAGGTCCGAAAATGATAATTTTTTCAAAAGGTTTTTTTTATATAAATCAATTAAAATAAAATTAATTGTATTAATAAAATTTTTCAGTATAGCTCTTTAAAGTTTACATTTCTTAGATTTGTTATAAGATTTATAATATAAAAATTGATTTTCTGATCTTTTATTTTGTCATTTTCGGACATTTTTCCAGCACCTAGCCCATATAATAGGAATATTTGAGTAAATATTGAGAGGCAATAAATCATTAACTTCAGCTCGAAGACTGAGACGCCTTGATTAGTGCGTTAGAGTGCAAGTTTTTTTTTTTTTTTTTTGTGAAATAAACACAACCAAATCAATCTGCGTGTTAATTTTCTAAGCGAAGTATAACAGATAATGAATAATATTTTATTATATACAGTATATATTATTAATATAACATAACTATTCGAAATCACAATTTAGCTTTTAATAAATAATAAATAAGTAAGCTACTTGGACCGAGAAATCACCAATGCAAAAAAATGGCGAAATTGTCTGGACTGATTGGACCTGTATGAACAAAAGAACCAGAAGCTTCTATTGTGCACTAAAATTCGACTACCTATACATTCTTTCAGACCGTAATGATAATATCGATTATTAAGAGAGACAGACACAATTGCCATTGGAATTAGATAAGCCTGGTTCTGACAAAAAAACAATTCATAATATTTCAATATTGGTGATATCTACTATGTTTTTAAGCTAGTAATAATGTCTTCAAAAGTTTCTTACCAAAAGTATTACTTTACACCTAGAAAAAAACATAGAGGTTTAACGGTCACGATTCGACATTGTGCTCTTAGTAAATAAGTCCAATTATATACAAATTTAAATTAGGTAAGTATTAACTACCAAAGTCTATGAATATTTAAAGAACAAATTAAATACCTTTTTTTTTTTTTTTTGATATTATTTAATGATAAGATTCTCTTTTTTCCATTCGTATTTATGGCTTAGATCATTAGCATATTTATATAATGATTTTCTAGTATATAGTAATTTATACACATCACGTCATTTTAATACGTAGTGTAGGCAAGTTAAGTGATTGCATCTGATTATGATCGATTCTCATGAGGCATTTTGCCTATATCAGGAATGGTAAGAGTGTGGTCTTGATTAGTGCCATTTATATGATACTCGGATTTTTTTTAGCAATACGTACAGTACATGGCACATAACTAGTCTTGATACAAATGGCTAAGCAAGAATATTCTGGAAACAATCCGGTTAGACCAGATCTGCCATTAATTCTAATCGGGAATACTATTAGCTAATGTCATAAAGCATATGAAGTCAGTTAAGTAAACTGTATCTTCATTGTCAGTGGCCAGTTATTCTTATTCACATCCTCAGTTGCCATTAATTTTTTAAAATCAACTTTTGTTCATTATGCACACTTATGTTAACTTAGATATAGAAAACGTTAATAATGTTAACTAGGCGCTTGAGCTGCTCGAAGGGAGCTAGTTATGAGTTTGCTGTATTGTACTATACTACGCAGTTATAATACTTTTTGTCGATTATATATTATTTTTATACGAATAAATGAGAGGATGTTTGTATTAAT